CGCGGTCGCTTCAAAATGAAATTATCCACGTTGGACTACTACTACTTCGGGCTTCCACAAAAAATGGGCAATGCAATCGGGAAGATTTATGACAGGAGGGAGCACAAACGCGCCTGATATGACACGAATGGGTCGCAACGTTAAATGCGCGATGGCCGCCAACGTTCGATGGTCCCCCCCCGCTGCCCCGCTGACGCAAATAACGTGAATAGGCTTTAAAATTCTGAAAATCTCCATCAGCAAATCCTGCAAATAGCTCCGGAAACTGACATAAAAAGTGGCACAATTGCCATCTGAGATCGTTTCGTGACAACTGCAACCCGATTGTTTTCGTAATTGCTTCAAATTGACAATCGACTTCACCTGGAATCTCTACACGCCTCAACTTGTGCACACGAAGCCGCTGCTCGGGAATGCGAATACTCTCCGGATACCGTTGTTCGTTCGCACGGTACTCCTCGAGACTAGCTTCGATTACATGCTTCAACTGTTCATCATAACTCTGCTTCTGAACATTCTGAAATGTCAATCCCAAAGATTTGAATAAATATTTGAGCACCGTGCCTTTGACTCCTCGTGCCATCTGCGCATGCTGCTTACAGTAGTCACCATCAACACGCCCCACGTCCGCTTGCGCCTGGGCCAATGCAAGTTTCATCATCGATTTCATATCCAGGTTATTCTCTGCGGCCTTCCACAACTTATACTTTGGCATAACATTGGCTAATTTTGCCTGCCCGCCTGTTGCAATAGTAATTGCACTCGGCTGCATTAAATATGTTCTGCGAGCGTCACGCCAGCGGGAATGCTCAAGAATTGCATCAAAGTCTACCGAATCGCTCGAGCACATTCTTCTCCTGTGCCCACATGCGTCGGCCATTTTTCTAATCCTTTCCATTCTTGGTTTGTTTGATTAACCAAATTATTGCAACGGGCTCCTTCAATTCGCCCCGAAAGGACCTCACAAACTTGATGCGTCAATTCTGCGGCGTTACAGCGCTCGCACCCAGGGTTTTACAACGACTGCATAAACCGGCGCTTTCGTTCTGCCGTGCTCGGCGCGCACGACGCAAATCCGAGCGGAACTGTTCCTAACCCACACGCCCAAGGCGCCCAGATAACTCCATCGGAAATATTTAACATGTTGTTTCGAAACATACTTCGCGAATTCAGGTTCGCCAACGTCGGTCACATCATCTTCTGCGTTACAACGCTGCAAATAAGTCGATCAAACATGCATGAAACTCAACGTCGCTTGGAAACCAAGTTGGCCCCAATACACACATGTCTGTAACGCTGGTGAAATTTATGCGATCCTTGCCCACTGGCCGCCTAATATTATATTCACCCTATGGCTTGATGTTTGTCCGGGCACGTTGCAAGCAACGACGCAAAGATACACCTCTTTCAGGTGGCAGGGCGCTAAGCAAGCTTCCCATGCAAGCGCAATCTGCTAATCCGCCAGTAATCGCCACGTCAACTGATTGCGCTGCGTTGAGGTGAAGGTCCAATAATATATGATGAGCGTTTTTGTCTTCAGCGTCTGCAAGCATACATATAGCGGGAAAAAACGCACATGAGGTTCCTGGGCTTTTCTTGCCACAACCCCACAGGACCTATGACGCCAAGCAACAATCCATGCTGCCTTTCATTGAAAGTGAAATGCCGATGAGACCATACAAATGTCAAAAAAACGCGGATCATCTCCCCCGCTTTCGGCGCTGCGAAGGGAACGCGACATTTACTTTCTTCGAGAACTACGTAATCTCCAAATGTTAGTATTTCGGCCAAGGAGGATCCGCAATGAATTTCTGTGAATCGCCCAAGCATGCAATTGAGCATCGGTTTACTGATGGCTTCAACTTTGCTCTTTCATTCTCAATCCACGTATTTGTTGGCCACGAGTCTCTATGAATTTTCAATGAGGAGAAAATCTTCTCGATCTGGCCCGGAGCACAAGAAGACGCATACTTTCGAGCGCACTCTGTCTGTCTGAAACCGCGGAAAATCGAGCGTAGTCGGATCATTCTGATCACCTGCACATTCTCCCATTGTCTCGAAAAATAAAACATCTCTATTCGAAGCATTCAATCTTTTTGAAAATGCTAACGCTCTTCCAGATTTTTGGCACGTGTCACAATGCGCAACTAATATGGTCATCTTCTGATACTTTGATTGTGCAAACGGCTTCGTCTATAAATCTTCTTTCTGAATATACACTATGGCTTTATATTGTAAAGATCACGTTTTGGAACCATCTTCTGTCTCTTAACTGTCTTGATAAGGCAACTGATCTTTATACGGCTGGAACGGGCGGCGCTTTGGACCACGCTTTTTCTCTGCACTGGGCTCGCTGGCCTCAACGAATTCCTCTTCTTCTTGCGACTGCTCGATCTGATCCAATGAATCTTGCGCAGGAATACTCTGAGCTGCACACAGATCCACGTCTAAGAAGCCTGCTTCTAAGTGAGTATGATTAGGCTGGTGGTCCACTGCCAGCAACTGAATCCGCTCATCTGGGTTCAATCCGCGTCGATGCAAAATTCGAACATTAGTCACCCAACACGGCAATAAGAATATGAAATATGGAAACGTTCTCTCCGCTTCCGCGAACCGTAAATGCGATGTAGAAACTCTGCACACAGACATCACTTAGCCGAAGAACTACGGAACACATGATCGAAAGCAAACGCATATCTCTCTTTCAAGTTTGTCTTTACAATGTTTGGATGTATGTGTCTACGTATTGTTGTCTTCGTTTCTACGCTTCTCATATATATATAAAATATAAATATATGTATTCCCGTCTTCGTTTTTACTTTCGTCCTGTCGAACCTCGATCGCCTGGCTGGTCACCTAAGGAGGGTGAACCCATCAAAGCTTGCGCAGCCATCCGGCGTGTAATAATGTCTTCTCTAGCTACAAAAATCAGGACCGCTTTCGACATTATTACTGGTAACGGAAAATACCAGCAACAATCGAAACGTTGAATCTGAGCCATTCGTATTTGTCTTAGTTTTCTTTCTCCTTATATTTTTATGCGTCTATATATGTTCGATTTCTTTGTTATTTCTCTGATTCGCTTCCTTATTATTTATATTCCTTTTCTTATGTACCTGTGTGTCTTCTCTTTGCTCTCAAGTATTGATTATGTTGTATAGTACTGCTCCTCCTTGATCTGTTCGTCTCCTCTTTTCTTTATAGTATTCGTTTTCTGATTCTCTACATTATTATTAGGTATATGTTCGTTCTCTCTTTTCTTTATCTCGATCGATTCGTTTCTCTGCTCGTTTACAGTTTCGTTTCCTCTGTTCGTAAGAGACACCGCCTTCGTCGACTATCCTCTACAAATATATTGCGGCGTCTTCTAAATCTAAATTAAAATCATCGAAGCAGATTGCTGAAGTATATGTCATTCAAGTCTAAATTTAAATGACCAGCTTAGATTCGAAATGCCGATTTCTTTTAAAACTAGATTTAAACTATCGAATGTGATTCGATAAGTACATTAATTTAAATCTACATTTAAATGATATCATATGATGTGAATCCGCATGCATACGTTTCTCGATGTCCCTTTAAATCTAGATTTACACCATTTTGAATATAGAATCCAGTGTCTACCATGTATGTATGTATGTGTGTAAGTATGTACGTATATATGTTTGTGTGTGTATGAACGTACGTGCGTACGTATGGTTGTACGCATGTATGCATGGATGGATGTATGCATTTGTATGTACGTACGTATGTATGTATGAACGCATGTAAACATGAATGAATGCATGTATGTATGTAAGCATGTATGCGGACGTAACTATGCATGTATGCATGCATGAATGAATGCATGTATGTATGTTTGTATGTATGTGCATATGTACGTGTATGCATTTATGGGTTGACATGTATGTATGCATGTATGTATGTATGTATGTATGTATGTATGATTGTATGTATGATCGTATGTATGTACGTATGTATGTATGTGTATGTGTGTATGTATGTTTGTGTGTATGGATACATGTATATGTGTATGCATGCATGTATGTATATGTTGGTGTGTGTGTATATGTTTGTATGTATGCATGCATGTATGCATGTGTGTATGTATGGATGTAGGTATGTATCGGAGGTTGAGGGTGAGATCGCAATGGGACGGAGAGCCCCCTACTGGGAAAGCGGTTTCGATTTCTTGTTCGTGTCGTGCGTGCGGGCGAGGCGAAGTTGCGTGGGCGCGCGAAAGGAATGATCCTGCCGTCGCTAGGGCGACTCGGATGCAAAAGTCTGGCCCCCTGGTGGGCGCGCGGTGGCTGGTGGTGTCCCGCAGTGGTGTCTCGCGGTGTCCCGATGGTGTCCCCCAGTGTCTCGCCGTGGGCGCGCGAGGGGAATGATCCTGCCGTCGCTAGGGCGATTCGGATGCAAAAGTCTGGCCGGCCCTCTGATGGGCGCGCGGTGGCTGAGGGTGTCCCGCCGTGGTGTCCCGCCTTGTCCCGATGGTGTCCCGCGGTGTCCCGCCGTGGTGTCCCGATGTTGTCCCGTGGTGTCGGAGGGAAGGGCACCCCCTTCCCTTGATCCCTCCTACCAGACGACAGGCAAAGGAGTCCAGGAGGGGCAAGTCAAAGAGTACGGGGGGAGAACACAGAAGAGGTGACACGTGGTCTGGCCCACGAGGGATCCGAGGGCCCACCTCTCCTCCTTCGCCCTGGGGCCATCGCCATCCCATTCGTCATGATTGAACTCTTCTCTGGGCCAGCGGAACCAGCCAAGGCCGTTGCAGCAATTTCACAAAAGCGGAAGCCCCTCACTCCGATAATGATCGCTGTCGTCATCGTCGTCATCCTCGATGTCGTCACCGTCGCCGCCATCACGATGAGACCACGGGTCGTCAGCGCCACCACCTGTGTCGTTATGATCACAACAGCTGTTGGCGTCGCTGGCACCATTGACCCCGAAGGTGCGAAGCAGAATGAGGGAGTCAAGGTGAGAAACAGGTCGGGCGCCTGATGTCATTCAGCTTGCCCTTGCCAGACTTGAAGACATCCTCTATCCAGTAGGGACAGGCAGAACGCACAGGAAAGGCAAGAGACCAGAAGGACAAGAAGATGAGAGGAGGAGGAGGAGGAGGAGGAGGAGGAGGAGGAGGAAGACTTGCGTGGGGAGGGGGGGGGAGCGACAGCAGCAGCAGGAACAGAAGGATGGCGAGGAGGAGGACTGGGAGAAGGACGAGGAGAAAGAGGAGGAGAACAAAGAGGGGAAAGAAGCGGAGGCGAAGAAGGCGGGAGGATGAGGAGGAACAGGACCAGTGCAAACTCAAGACGCATCAACGATGTTGGACTAAATCATCCCTACAAGTTCCCTCTTCACAGGCCCCTGTAAGGGCTAATTCCCACTCAGGGAAGTGCCCCGTTGGGAGACAACCGTTGGAAGATCCTGAAGCGCGGAATAAAACACCATTCTCGGAACTTACACGCCACGGATCAACTTCACTGCTGCGTTTTGACGATCCCGAATCGCGCCCGAGCACCATTCCTGGGACTTCAACACCGCGAATCCACGTAACTATTCCGTCCAGACAATCCTGAACCGCTCCAAAACACCATGTCTGGCACGCTAGCCACGGCAATATGTGAAGACCCTGCACACAGCGCGAAGGCGAAGGTCACATGTTGAAAAACACGCCTTCAATCCGTGAAACTCCAGCCCAACGTTCAACACGAATGCGCGCGGCGCTAAAGCGAGAGCCACCTTTTGAAAACGACCCGCCCTCAATTTGCGAAGCCCCTGCAGATGTTTAAAGCAAGTGCGCGCGGCGCTGAAGCGAGAGCCACATGTTCAAAAAACCACCCGCCCTCATTCCGCGAAAATCCTGCCAGTGCTCAACCTGACTGTGGCGGCTTGACGGGCCCGAATCGTGCCGCAACATCCTTCCTGTTATTAAACACCGCGAACCACTGCAAGTGCTGCACGTTGCCGATCATGAACCGTTCCCAAACACCATCTCTGGTACGTTGGCCCTGCGAATATCCGGAACTCCTGCAATTTAGACTGAAAATCAGTGCGGCCATAATACGAGAGTCACATTTTAACAAATGGAAGAGCTATGTTGTTCACAACCATCCTGTGGTGTTGGGTCCTCATGTTGAACAGACTTCACCCCGCGTCCACCTTTTTCATTATTCCTCCTCCCCCCACTCCCTCCTCCCATGCGTGTCCCTGCTCTCTCGCATGCCCGTGTTGGCACACCCCTCACACGGCTCGTGGCCCCATTGGGAGCTCCTCCGAAGGCCCCAGAAGCAGCGTCCACATGCGCCCCCCCCCCCCCGCCCACCGCATGCAAATCTCGGCACACCCCTCATTCGGTTGGTGGCCGAATAATGAGTAGCTCCACCGAAGGCCCAAGAGGTAGCGTCCACATGCGCCCACCCCGCCCACCGCATGCCCATTTTCACACCCCCAATCACACGGCTCGTGGTCCCATAGGGAGCTGCTAACCCGAAGACCCCAGTGGCAGCGTCCGCATGCGCCCACCCCGCCCACACCATGCCAATTTCGTCACACCCCTCACACGGCTCGTGGTCCCATACGGAACTCCGCCGAAGGCCACAGTGGCAGCGTCCGCATGCGCCCACCCCGCCCACCGCAAGCCCATGTCGGCACACCGCTCACACGGTTCCTGGTCCCATACGGAGCTCCACCGAAAGCCCCAGTGGCAGCGTCCGCTTGCGCCCACCCCGCCCACCGCAAGCCAATTTCGGCACACATCTCACACGGTTCGTGGCCCCATACGGAGCTCCACCGAAGGCCCCAGTGGCAGCGTCCGCATGCGCCCACCCCGCCCACCGCAAGCCTTTTCGGCACACCTCTCACACGGCTCCTGGTCCCATAAGGAGCTCCACCGAAAGCCCCAGTGGCAGCGTCCGCATGCGCCCACCCCGCCCACCGCAAGCCAATTTCGGCACACCTCTCACACGGTTCGTGACCCCATACGGAGCTCCACCGAAAGCCCCAGTGGCAGCGTCCGCATGCGCCCACCCCGCCCACCACAAGCCCACGTCGGCACACCTCTCACGCGGTTCGTGGCCCCATACGGAGCCCCACCGAAGCCCCCATTGTCAGCGTCCACGTGCGCCCTCCCCGCCGGCCGCATGTCCATTTCCGCACACCCCTCACACGGCGCGCGCCCCCAGAGGGAGCTCCACCGAAGGCCGCAGAAGCAGCGCTCATAAGCGCCCACCCCGCCCACCGCATGTCCATGTCGGCACACACCCCACACGGTGCGCGCCCCCAGAGGGAGCTCCACCGGAGGCCCCAGAAGCAGCATTCATATGCGCCCACCCCGCCCACCGCGTGTCCTTTTCGGCAGACACACACACACAGACATACATACATACATACACCACGGTTGAGGAAGCAGCTGGAGCAGTTTGCGGCGCGCCCCCGCAAAGCCTTCTCGCGATTGTCCAACCGCTTGGCCTCGCGCCGCGGGCGACCCACGCGCGTCGCTGGAACCCTCTCGGGGCGACCAGCGCGCGTCGCGGGAACTCCGTGCTGCGCTCTGCCCAGCGCCTCGCTCGCCCGTCGTCGGTCTGCCGAGCGGCCGGAGACTTGCCCGCTATCAGCCATCCAACTAGCTCACTTTGCTCCGCGCGGCGGACGACCCGCGCGCGTCGCTGGGACCCCTTCGGGGCGGCTGCCGCGCGTCGCGGAGGCTCCGCACTGCGCTGCGCCCGCAGCCTTGGACTTTGGAGTGCGCGGGCAAAGAGGAAGAAAAAAAGGGACGGGCCATTTTGGACGGTCCAGCTGTCCTCGTGCCCCCCCATCGAACAGATCACGGACAGAGGACACCGCACCGAAGGCCCTATAGGAACTCCACCGAAGGCCCCCGTGAGAGCGCCCGCGTGCCGCTGCCATTCCACTTTGGCACACCCGTCACACGCTTCGTGCCCCCATAAGGAGCTCCACCGAAGACGATACGCACGATTGCGGTACTCATATCTGCATATGGTTGGGTCCTTCGCCAGGTGTTGTACTTATGTTGTGAAAAATAAGAAATCAAGCCGTGATGCTCTTGTACAAATGTTAAACACGAATGCGCGTGGCGCTGAAGCGAGAACCACATTTTGAAAACAGCCCGCCATCAATACATGAAAGCCTTTGTTTGAACATGCTTACGACGAACGTGCGCGGCGATGAAGCGAGAGCCGTTTTTTATATAGAAATCCGCGAACCTCCCAAAAATGTTAAATGCAAATATTCGCGGCGCTAAGGCGAGAGCCAAATTTTGAAAACCACCCGCCCTCAATCTGCGAAGCTCTTGCAAATGCTTAAGATGAGTGTGCGCGGCACTATAGCGAGAGCCACGTTTTGAAAGCCGCCCGCCCTTCATCCGTGAAACTGTCGCAGATTTCAAGCTGGAGGATCATAAATGGTGAGGAATTCTCGGGCGAAACGCCCGGCCCGCCTTTCCGACTGGCCTCGGGTGCGACATGGAGAAGTCATTGACAAAGGAAAGGAATGGAGGAGGAGGAGGAGGAGGAGGAGGAGAACGACGCTTGGAGTAGTATGTGGAGTCAGAGAGGAGGAGGAGGAGGAGGAGGAGGAGGAGGAGGAGGAAAAGGAGGAGGAGGAGGAGGAGCAGGAGCAGGAGGAGGAGGAAGAAGACGACGAGGACAATGAGGACAGGGAGCAAAGGGAGGAGACGCCGTGTCCTTACGGCGAGGGCATCGGCGGTGTGCCTCCGACGCCCCATGGGCGGCAGTCCCTTGTGGCCCTGCTGGGCTGCGGCCTCGCTGCCGGGCGCGGCCTGACCTCCTCTGAGACGAGGCCAGGAAGGGGACAAACATCGAACTGGGACAGAGCGGATCCTCCTCCTCCTCCTCCTCCTCCTCCTCTCCTCCTCCTCCTCCTCCTCCTCCTCCTCCTCCTCCTCCTTCTCGTTGAGATCTGGCGGCTCTGGCGGATGCGCCAGGCGCCGCGGCCGTTCCAGAGCGATCCGAAGCGCCCTGCGAGCGTCGCGGAACGCTCTGGAGCAACTCGTCCAGCTCCTGGGCCTGCCTGATCCTCCTCCCCCTCATCTTCCGCCACTTCGCCACTTCGTCCCTGATGAGCGAGCAACTACCCCTCGAACACACGGGAGGCCAGACTCGCGCCCCTCGCCGTCGAAGGGCGCGCCACAGCCGCGAATGTCAGCCGACCTGTTCGAGCGGGGACCCACACACGACATCTTACCCTCAGATCTGGGCGTCGTGACTTTTCCACGCCCGGCGTCTTTCCTCTGTTTCGGGCCCCAGTGCCCTCGCAGATCGATCCCAGCTCAGAAAGCTAAGGTCTAGGGCTCCGGTGCAGCATCGGATCTCAGGGTACGGCAGGTTCGGGGACGCCATAACCCGGGTCAGCACACACCCAGGTCGGCCACGGCCCCGTCGTGAGGTCCGGCTGGCCGTTCAGTAGCTCCCAGACCCAGTGTCAGCGGAGAGCAGACATGGGGAATCGGCCTCGCGCGGCTCCCGAACCCGGGGCAAACGGGGGGGAGTGGCTGACCCCCGTCAGCTCTGACCTCCGTTGCATGAGCCCCCACGGGTTTGTATCGTGACGGCCCTGGCTGCTTGGTTTTTTTTTGACACCGCGTGGACCGTTCAACCTTGAACGATCGGCAGTTTTCCGATCGCCAGATGGTTCCATGCTGGCCAAGTCTAGGCCACTGGCGGCGTTCAATGTTTAACGCCCGCGGCGGGGTCGCCGCCGCGTGGCCACGACACGAACCCACCGTACATCTGTGGCCGTGGTGGGATCCCACCAGCAAACTGGGCGCAGGTGATTCAGATCAGCTACTCTTCTAACCCCACTCTTCCCCTTCGGAAGGGGCGTGCCCATCCTGCTGCCCTCTTCCCTGGACTCGGGGCGAGCGTCACGCGAGGTGTCAGAGGGTCTACGTTTGCCCGAGATAGCTCCAAGCGGGCTCCAGATGGCCTAAGATGGCCTCCAAGATGGCACAAGAGAGCCCATGATGGCTAAAAATACACACATGCCTCCAAGAGGCCTTAAGACCACCACAAGAAAGCTCCAAGTGGGCACGGAGCATCCCAAGCATGCCCCCGAGTCCAAAAATCTTTCAAAATCCAAATGAAAAGCAGTGCTTATAGTCTTCTCACAGTTTCACCTCCGACGGGCTTCTGAGGCCTCCAGGTGGCTCCGAGGTCGCCCAGCAGAGCCCCAAGAGGGGCCCAGGAGGGCTCCAAGACGGCTCCAAAAGCGCCCAAGAACGCCCCGATAGCATCACAGGAGGGCCCCAACGGGCGATGTTTCGGCTCCAACGGGGGGGGGAAGAAGCGCCGCATCCCGTTGTGTTCTGTGTCATCCCAAGAGGGCCCCAAGAGGGCCCCAGAAGAGCTTCAAGAGGGCCCCGGGAGAGACCCGAAGGCTTCCAAAAGGGCCCCAAGAGAGCCCCAGTACAACACCAAGAGCCCTCAAGAGGTCCGTCCTGGGCCGAGCTGTGCTCGCCGCCGCCGCCGCGCCCCTGAAGCAAGCTCGGAAAACGGAGCACCCTGCGCCCCTCCACTCGAATTAGATCGGGTGCGTCGAAGACCTCTCGCACCCCCAGGAATCTCCAAAAAACTCAAACCGAATCTCGCCGAGAGAGAAAATCTCAAACCAGATCTCAAACCAGATCTTGCCGCGAGAGAATATCCAAACGGATCTCCGATGAAATCTTCCGAGACACTTTGGGGCCCAAGCAAAAACTCAAACGAAATCTTGCCACCGATAAATCCCGAACGAAACCCCGCTTCGGCTGGACGGCCACGTACCCCTCCTCTCGGCGGCAGTCCTTGCCGATGCACCTCTTTGGGCAGTGCAACGCGCCTAGGGTTATTTATGTCGGGCCTGTCCCCCCCTACAGGGGGATCTTCGACGAAAAATAAAAAATACCCAAAAAATACCCCAAAAAGGTCAAAAAGTGCTCAAAAAATAGTCCCAAGACTAATTTTGGATTATTGTTTGACCATTTTGGGGGGATCTTTTAGTTTTCGTCGAAAGTCCCCCCTGTAGGGCGACAGGCCCGACTTGAAGCCTGGGCGAGCGCTTCTGCACGGGCTGGCGGCGGCACGCGCAGTGCGCGTCGGCTTGCGCCCCAACGCTGGCGAAGGCTGGGGTCTGGGCCCGTGCGGGCCCGGAGGGTCGAGGGCCACGGCGCCTCCTCCTCCTTCTCCTCCTCCTCCTCCTCCTCCTCCTCCTCCTCCTCCTCCTCCTCCTCCTCCTCCTAAGTCGGGTCGTTGACCTAAGGAACCCTAAAGAAGGAACGAGGCCCCTTTTCCCCAGCAGTTCGAGTTCGATCTCGCACGGAGCCCCTCCCCAACGAAAAGGGGTCCTTCTTCAGCGCCCCGACTGTAGTGACTGTTGCAACGCCGTTCTCGCAACGGCTTCGGGCATGCTCGTCTCGCCGCGATGCACCAACATCCACAGTTAACTACAACTGGCAAGCTGCCATATGGGGCATGCCAATATTGCACGGCGGCATGCCCCCGGAATAGCACTCTGTGAATGCATGTGTGTATGTATATATGTGTCTATAAATATATGTCTATATATATATGTCTATACATATATATATGTCTATAAATATATATATATGTGTAAGCCGAATGCGCCGAGGAGCTTTGCGGAGCCAGATCAAGGCACGTCCTTCATCAGCATCACAGCCAGGCTCATGTTCCTGGACAGCGCGCCGATCGTGGAGCCGAGGTTATGGGTCTTCAGAGCCTCACGCCAATTCTGTACGAAATTCCTGTGCATCGTTGCATCTGCCGCCTCCTGACTCGACCCTCCATTCTCGTGTCCGTTCACAAACGCAGATTCCCACACCACAATTCCTGGAAGAGCGGGAGAAGACCAGGAGTGAAAGAAGCGACCATGGTACGCTCGCTTTGCGCTCGCTTTGTATATGAACACCACTTGCCCAGCCAAAACATCCTCCTCCTCCTGCGGCCGGCGTTCAGGGTCCTCAGGTGTTCGCAGTCTGGCTTCTGTGCCTGACGAGGTCTGCAAGTGGTCCGTCCCTTGCCTTCGATCGTGAGATGACACGTCTGCTGCTGCTCTGCACGGTCCTCCTTCCCGCCTCAGACAGGCCCGTGGCCTGCAGTCCCTTGCGGAAGGGAGGCTGCACGCCCAGGCAGTGGCTCCCCTGTGGAGCCCCTTTGGCGGACCGCCGATCCGATCCGACCCTCCCCCCCTCTCTCCTCCAACTGCTCGCCTGGGGAGGCATGGCCGGGCCCATCCTCACGCTCACGATCCTCCTCGACAGGCCGAAGAGCGGTTCACGCCGAGGCCTTGAACGCGTCGAAGACGCTGCCGTAGCGCAGGAACTTGAGGGTGATCGAGCCGAAAGGTCCAAAGAGTAGCATCTCCTGCCGCCGAGCGGATGCAAACGAGATGCAGACGGCGGGAGCAGGATGGGACCCCGAAGGACACACGAGTACTGTGCGCCCCCCTCTAGCCATCGCTCGGACGTCCATTCCCTGTGTTTTGTCTCGTTTTCGCGCGTGGCTGTTTCGCCAAGTGATCAGGGATGCTCCTCGATGGTCCTCGCCGAAGGAAAAGGCGCACACGCCCGAGCGATTGCCAAGCCCTTGGAAGAGCACGCCCAAGTCGAGCATATAGCACAGACAGGCTGCAGCGTGCCGTTGCCCAGGCGGTGCGGCCAGCAAGCGCCCGCCGCGGATATAAGGGGGCCACGTGCGAGCCCCACCCCCACCCCCCCCCGCGATTTCTGAGGGGCAGGGCGGGGTTCGCTTCGCTCGGGAGCTCCCGAGCGAAGCGAACCCCACCCTCCCCCTCAGAAATCGTGGGGGGGTAGGGGTGGGGCTCGCGTGTGGCCCCCTACTGGAAATTGGCACCAACGCCAGCAGCACGAGGGGGTGCCTCCACAGGGGGAAGGTGGTCCTAGATCTCGGTGCTGGTGGTAATATTTCGGTCACCTTGGCAGCCAGAACATTGCCACCATCACCGAGATCGGGATCGTCTTCCCGCGGTGGAGGCACACCGCCGATCTTGGTGGTGGTGTCAACCTCTAGGCCTGCGATGTTTGGGTGATGCCGACGGGAATCCGACGGGCGAGAAGGGAAGGCAGAGCCCTGGCGAACCCCGTGCAGGCTGTCGCCACGGGCCCTCTGCACGACAGCGCAGGTCCTCACGTGGGAGCGCCTGGATCTGGCACCCGTGCACGGAGAACCGTGTGCCCCCCCAAAAAATGACAGCTCACGACATACACCGGAAAGGCCGTGCGCATGCATCGGTGGTGGACGTGAAGCCTGCATCATGCAGGTCGGATCTCCAGGTCGGAGGCGTTTGAGCCTCTGGGGTGGAAGGTGCCCAGAGCGCGGTTGTTTGTTCTCCGGGCACTGGCCAGAGAGGAGGAGGAGGAGGAGGAGGAGGAGGAGGAGGAGGAAGAGCAGGAAGAGGAGGAGGAGGAGGAGGAGGAAGGAGGAGGAAGCGGTGGAGGCAGAAAAACGCTCTGGTGGTCCTTCCCGCCGATGGTCCGGTAGTCCAGGTGCGGCATCGACCTCGGGCGGCCTGTGGTCCTCCACCCCTCGCACTTCTGGAGAACTCCCCCTCGTCGCACAGCCAGGCGTGTTATCAGTGGGGCGGTACGGGCGTCTGGCCTGAGACTTCCTCACCGCGTGTGGTCCTGAGGGTTGTGAGTTCCCAACAACCACAAGGGTGGAGGGCGGATAGTATCTCTGAGCGGAGCTATCGCACGAGACTGCCCCACACTTGACGACAAGATGCTCGAACTTTCGCGACAATTACATGGACGGTGGGCGGCTCCTATTCAAAACGGTATTCTCGCTTGAGCTGTTCACCTTCTTTATTGCAAGAAGAATCAACTGTTGCAACAATTATACGAAAGGACAGCGAATCTGCAAGGACACTGCTGAATTCAGTATGCTGCCATCGTTTTCGGTTGGGAGCTTGTGTTTGGCGTGTCGCCACGGCGGCCCCGACGACACACTACGCCTTCCAAAGGGATAGCGTGCCGCTCAGTTCTGCGGGGCGGGAGGCTCGGGAAAGCTCGGGACGCTGACGCCTCGGGACCAGGAAGTGGATAGCATGTCGTGCCGCAGCACGGCGGGCCAGAACTGGTGGGGCGACACGCTATCCAAAGTTCACGACCGTATGCTTATGCTTGACTCGCGTGCCTCTCCCTCCTCTACCACCTCCCCGAACCCTTCCCTTCCGATTCCACTTCCGCTTTCCTCCAGCCCATCGCGTGACCCATGGCAGTGCATAGTAACGAGGAGGAACTAACGATGAGGGGCTTTGGGACGGGAGGGCGTATTGCAGCATCGCTGACGCACCCTTACTTAACTCTGGCCCTTCATCCACTACCTCATTCTGATCATCTTCTTCGCCATAAGCATCATCATCATCGTCATCATCGTCAGCATCACCATCGTCACCGTCATCGTATCATCATCGTCATCGGCATCGTCATCATCGTCATCATCATCATCATCGTCGTCATCGTCGTCATTGGCCATTGTCATAGCACTCATCAATTCGATCATCGTCATCATTATCAGCAGCAGCATCGTCACCGACGTCGCGGATCGTCAGCACGCCTCGTCTACGCCGTCGTCGTCGTCGTCGTGATCGTGATGCGTGTTGCTCTGATGCAGTGACCACCCACTTGGCTCGCCAGGGATTGCACGCCGCACAGCTGCTTGTCCGTTCGTCTGTCTATCTTCCTGGCTCTATGGGCCGCGGGGCTTGGAGCTTCTCAGCTCTGGGACGCAACGGCCACCATCGCCCTCTCACTTATCAGTGGCCCAGACGAAGTTGCGGGAGGCGGTGCCGAAACGCACCCCCAGGCTCAGCAAAGCATGAGGATGCAAATCCGAAACGCGTGGCTGCTGCTCAGGGGGAGGGCCTGTGCTCGGGGGCAGGCCGCAGCAACGTTCAACGATGTATCGTGTACCAAACCTCGCAAAATGGGCCGTTTGCCAAATCCGTGCTTTGGTGCGGATCGTAAGCGCGCCTCGTCTCC